AAATTCATCAAGCATGCTGAATGCAGTGAATGAAACACATGTTAGATTAGATATCACTCCAGTACCTTTGGCGCGTGGGAAAATAGCAGGTCTCCGGTGGGCCTCCGACCTTTTCGGAGGCCGAAACGAAACTACGGCCGCCGATCAGATTTATCAATGGCAGTCTTCATCGGGCCCGGCCTCCGAAACTTTAGGAGTTTGGGAAAACGTCCACTTTTCCCTATTTTCCCACGCGCCAAAGGTACAAAAATTAAAAAAAGGACTCTTAGCCTCTTAGGCCATACTCGCCCTTGGACATTTTATGATTTTAACTTATTCTGGAATCTGGATGCAGTTGCGGTTGGATACATCGAGAATAAGTTTAGCTGTACAAGTCAGACCTGCCGCGGCGAAGCCGCAGCCATAAATGGGGTGACATACATTTAACTTGATTTAAGATAGTGCTAGTGTGGCTACATGAGGTCCGTACGCCCTTAATAGCGCGCACAAAATCGGAGTGAACACAAAATAATAATTGAAAATATTTATTCTCAAAAGATAAAGCATTTTGCCATGCCAAATCCCAAAAAGGCGCAAGCTCTTTTGCATCATCTATCCCGATCCCCGGTGCCAAGTCCACTAGCAGCTTTGAGTTTCTCAACAGGCGAATCTGGACGTGTTTGCGGAGACGTGCGGTTGAAGAAACTCAACGCAGATTTCCGCACATATCCACAAACACCTCCAGATTCAGGTGTCTGCACATCTCCACAAACACGTCCAGATTCAGGTGTCGAGGAAACTCAACGCTGCTAGTTGGACTTGGCCTCTGGGCGGCCTTCGTCCTACATGACAAACAAAGGGAGGACTTTTTTTTCAGTGTGGTGCCTATTTTAAGGGCCAGATCCCACTGGCAAAGAGGATGGGATAAAGAGTCTGAATTTGGACGTGTTTGTGGAGATGTGCAAAAAATTGTGACAGTTCTGGTTTTCTGCATCTCTTTGCAGAACACGTCCAGATTCAGCCACTTATACCAATCCACTTTTGCCAGTGGGATGGTAAGGCGCGCAAGTGGCATTCAGGAGGTCTTGGGTTCAAATCCCCGTTGGCCTCATTTACCTTCCTGGGCAGGCTTGGCGCCCGCCACCTGGAGATAGCCCGTTGGTCCCCCCAATTGGCATTAAAAAGCAGTCTCTGCTGATGTTCATAGGGTGAGGGGTAATCCGGGGGAGGCACAGCGACTGGCCACTCAGATGATGCTCAGTCCCTCTGCTACCGGCTGTCCCCTGGCCGGTGTCCCCCCCCCAATTGGGGGTTCCCTGAAGGCAATAAATAAAGGCCACCCTGGGCTGCTGAAAAGGCCACCCAGTGTCAGATTAGACACATGATTCAATTTACCTGGGCTGGTTAGTCCTATGATAATACCTCAAGGCTATCGAGCTTCAAAAAAAAGTTGCATGGACTTTAAATAGGCACCACAATACCTTTCTGATCCAAAACAAGAAAAAAGGAAAAAAACTTAAAAAAAGGCACTGTACAAAAACAAGGGAAAATTGTTGGTGTATTCTTTCAGATACCCCTAAAACACAGGGGTATCACGAAATGCCCCTGACACTTTGTGAAATGCCCCTCGAACTCTGAAAAGTCCCCCACTCGGGGATTGGGCACGGCATCTTTCACATATGCCCCTACAAGACCTTGTGTAACATCTCCATAGACCTCTAGCGAATTTTGCAAGTGCCCGTACTGGTACCGGGCACTTTTTCTGTTTCCAAACGTCTCTCTCTCTCTCTCTCTCTCTCACAGCCCCTCGTTTGTCGTCCTCTTCTCCCTCTCTGCCTACGGTTTACCGGGCAGTTCTATTTGACGATATATATATATAATATAATATATATATATATAGGCAGTTCTATTTGACGATATATATATATATATATATATCGTCAAATAGAACATATATATATCGTCAAATAGAACATATATATATATCGTCAAATAGAACTGCCTACGGTAAACCGTAGGCAGAGAGGGAGAAGAGGACAACAAACGAGGGGCTGTGACAAACTGTTTCGTATATATATATATATATATATCTGAAGAAGAAGAAGAAGAAGGAGGGAAGAAGAGGGAAGAAGAGGAAAGGAGGAGGAAGGAGGGAGACGGGAGGGAGACTAGAAGAAGAAGAAGAAGAAGACGTCGTCCTCCTCGCTGTCTCACCTGCAGGTGCGTGCTGCCAGCGCTGCCCGTCGCTACGTTGTCGTCGTGTGCAGGTCGGCGTGCGTGGAGCCCAGCTATAGCGCCAGGTCCGCTAATGCAGGTATGGCCTCCGCCCCTCTGCCTACCTATCCTCTACCTCTAACCTCTGAGCGCAGCGCTAATCCAGCAGTGTGTCGCTCAAGAAGTGCGCTACCCGAACTGTCCTCTACCCAGCCCAGGCCCAGCTATATGTAGTGCGGGGCCCGACTGGGTGTGCTGCAGCGTGGCCTGAAACGGCCCGCACGGTTGGCCCCCCTACTGGGTGTCCAGACCGTGCTGCTGATGCAGCAGGGCGCCAAAGTGCACCTGGCCCCGATCGGCCCTGCCTCCTGGTGTATCCAGCCCAAGGCCTCGCCTTGGGGACTGCAAGTCCGAAACGACGTCTGAACAGACAAATAGGACCGCAAATACATAAAGGAGTGCTGCCTCAACTGTGCCTGCGGCCTGCGCCTCCATGGCGAGTGTCAGATGTGGGGGGCCCTCAAATGGGGCCCGTGTGCAGGCACAGCGAGAGGAGACCCTAATTTTCAGACCACTTGCCATGCCATTTATATGAAAACCAAAGGGTCATTTTAATCAAACTTGCCACCAATTCGTAGAGTGGAGACCATACTAACTAACTGCAAAAAATGATCCAAAAAATAAAAAATAAAAAACATATATGCAAAGGGCAATCTCCACAGGCCGACATCCAAATAAAGGACAACTCTCCGGAATGCGAATGCCCCTAAAGTAATGTTCTTGCGGGTGAAAGTCACGTTCCTGAAGTGATGAAGGGTCTGCAGGAGGACATGAAAACGGGGAAGCCAAGAGTCTTGATGTAAACTGAGACATCAGTTCCACTTGGGACCGCCGTACTTGAGCCCAAGTGGAATCCGTGCCACGTGGAATCGAGATATTTAGGGCCTCGTTACACACTCGCAGAGGGCGTCCTTGGGCTCCGAGGATGAATCCTCGGGGAAATTTCGGGGAAATTTTGGAATTTTGGTGGCGTCGTTCCACCTATCCTCGGGGAATGGCTCCGAGGACGAATCCTCAGGGACTTCCCGCGGCCAATTTTATATGGTTATACGAGGCCGCGGGAGGTGTGTCCGTGGTGCAGTTTGGGATGTCCGCTCAAGAGGTATGTTGGTCCACAGGCGACGGGCGTGAATACGTGGGGGGCCACACAAAAAAAAAAAGGGTGGGAATGTCCCCATCCAAGATTCGAAATTTGAGTTCCGGTGAGGGACAACGGCTAGGCGGCACACAGGCATTCACAGCGCGGCGGCTAGGCAGTGTATATGTTGTTTTCCTCGCCATCCCCTTCACAACCTCTGCTTCTCGCCCAGTTGAATAACGACGATGACTCGCAGTGCGTGGTGGAAGGTGTGTCCGGCGAAGAGGTCCATTGCCAGGTCGGCTCCTTGAGTGACAGCGCGTGGCAGCTTGGAGCGCGAGCTTCGTTGGGCGAAGACATCCGTTGTGCCATCATCTGTTCCCGCCACCCTGAGGATGTGTAAAGTGCAGCTGCATGGTGTGTGGACGTGGACGCTGAGGATGCGCGTACACGGGGAAGGAGGCAGGCTTGCGGGTGACCACGTTTTTCGAAGTCCGTGGGCAATGGAGGGTGGTGGGGGAGATGGACGTGCGGTGTTGACGTCCATTGAGAAGACAGCGGTGGTGACGGCGTCGCTTGCCGTCGTAACGTCGTTGGCTGTTGTCAGGTAGACAGAACGTCCAGCCGCATGAAGGCGACGCTATCAAGGCCCAAGTAAACGATGCTGATACAAAGAGTGGTCGACGCCCCAGACTGTGTGGCAACTTCGGAGGCTGTCGTTCAATTGTGCGCTGCACTGGGCTCCGGTGTGCTCCCTCAAGCGACGCCAAATGGTGGATGAAACAGAGAACGGTTGGGAAGTGCGGAAATCTGCGGGTGTGCGATGACGCGACGGTCGCCTTCGTGCTTTGCAGGTGGTGTACTGTTCGTCAGCCGTTTGTCCATCCTGCTCCCCTTCTTCGCCGACTACCTCATCTGGTTCCTCTCGAGAAGTCGCCCCAGGAAACACAAGTGGAACATGACAACTGCCAGAAAAGCAGCATGGCGATGAGCAGCAGCAGCAGCAGCCTGTGGTGCAGGTCAGCCATGAACGACACAAGAGAGAGGATAGCGTGGGCACGGATCTTGTGGAATGTGCACACAGTGACGACGCACGACAGTCCGAAACACTTCAAGAGTACGCAGTGTCGTCCACATAGCGGTCACCACCATGACCACAAATTCAAAATTAACGACCGTTAGAGACCCCACCAGAACGCCACGGACCCCAAACTTAGGTGGCTGGAAATGACGACGCGCCCTGCCGCCATCCAATGCCAACGGTAAACGGACGAGGCCGCACCGAGCGTTATCGGGAAAAGGGGTTCCACTACCAAACACGTGGCAAGGACGAATACAAGGAAAGAGCGACCCGGCTGAGGCCGTCCACGCCAGATTCCGAACTCTGTAACGAGCGGCGCTGGGATTTAATTCGAAAATGAGATCCCACGAGCGTACCCCCGCGTTTCCGTTCGTCAAGACGACGACGAGTAGCCCGCATGAAAGTTCAGAGATACTTTTTGGATTAGACGAAAGTTCGAAAGCAGAGCTCGCCAATTCGTTCGCGCGGCTATGGTCACTTCTCACTAAAACTGGAACCACACGGGGGGGTTCAGTTCTGTCTGTGTCCCCACACTCAATTTTTCAAAAAATCATCGGCACACACCCCAATTTGCTGTTTTTTCCAGGGCCTGCTCCGCACATTTTATCACTCCGACCGGAAGACAGCACAGGGCGTGAGGTTTGAACGTCGCACACTGTACCTTCCTGTCCCCTGACTCCTCCCGACACCACCCACACTGTACCTTCCTGTCCCCTTACTCCTCTCTACACCACGCACACTGTACGTTCCTGTCCCTTTACTCCTCCCGACAGTCTATCCTTCCCCGGATCGAGTGTCGCATTCCAGTCTATCCTTCTTGTGTATTTACAAGCGCGCAGAGCTGTCCTTCGGGACATCCATTAAAATTGGAACGATACAGAGAAGATTAGCATGGCCCCTGCGCAAGGATGACACGTATAAATCGAGAAATGGTCCAAATTAACCAAAAAAAAAGAAAAACAAGCGTGCAGAGCTGGTCAGACGCCCTTGCCGTGGCTTGGTTGAGGTCTGAACCGGCGCCGAAAGGCACATGGGTTGAGTAGAGTCCAGGTACACAGGGTCATGGATGTATTCCATGCTGAGGGTCAACCCGAAAATCGTTATGAAAGCTGAAAAAAATAAAATAAAATGAAATACTAAATTATATCATATGGATTCGTAATTTCATACCCCTATAAGCCCCTTTAAGCCCCTTCGAGCCGCACTTATACCCCATAGAAACCCTGTCGTGAGACATCACCAAATTCGAAGATAAGACCAGTTTTGGGCACCTCATTGGGCTCAAAATTGACCGCACTGCCAAAAAAAGAGAGAAGACCCCCCCCCCCCCCGCGCTTTTGGCGTCGCCCGGGTACCCCTGGCGGGTCGTCCCCGGTGCAGGTTCACCCCTGTTGCCCGGCCGGGGCGGCCCGGGCAGTGCGACCCTGGTAATGTAGGTCAATGAGCCGATACTTCCTTGTATTGGAAGTCCAATTTGATATATTAGGGTGAAGACGGGAGTCAGACCGGGCAGCAGGCAAGTGCACAGGCACGACCGACAGGCAGCCAGGTAAGCAGAGCTCGAATATGGACCTCGCTTCACTGCATAACATTCTAAATGTGTCTGGACTCTGGAGCTAGTACTGGTCCCAATAAATTCAAAATGTTCGATCAGTGAGAATGTATCTGGTCCAAGACAATGTCTAGATACGTGTCAACTGGTGAGTAGTGGAGTGAGGCCCTATGTCATTGGGATGCTGAGGATCACCTCCTTTCCGGGACTGATCCTTAGCCTCCCAATGACATATTTGGGCCCTGCTTCACCTACTCAACATTCGACACGTATCTAGACTTTGTCTTGGACCAGATACATTCGGACTTATCTGTACTGGGACTTCTTTCAGACCTGACATAGGTTCAACAGCAAGAAAAGCTGAGCTCCAAGAGACTGGTGCAAGGAAAACTACCACAGGAGAAAGTTCACAGAGAGCTCAAATCACAATCACCGTAAGCTCTCTTGACCAGCATGCGCATCATGGCCACACTGAAGTTGAGCCAAATACATTACAGCTATAATGGTCGGCCGTTCTTTTCGGGTGGATATAGCTATAATGACCCTGTTGGACAAATAAGGTTAGGGACTACCCCCTTAAACCACCACCAGTACTTCCTGAAGTTGTCCCCCTTAGCAAGCCACAATTTTAAAAAGCGTACGGGCCACTACAGAAGCGCCCAAATTCAACCGACTACCGTCTTCACCCGAATAGAACGCCCGGTCATTATAGCTGTATTTGGCACAACTTTCAGTCCATATGCAGCGATAATGACCGGGCGTTCTACTCGGGTGAAGACGGTAGAAATGTTTCTTTTACTTTAACTTTTTTTTCTGCGTCCGATAACTGGGCCAAGTACTGGTGGTTTACCGAAAAGGGAAAAAAAAAAAAAAAAACGAAAGAAAGAAAGAAATGTAGAGAAAAGAATATAAAAAAAAAAACAAAATCAAAAATAAAAACAAAAACAAAAAAAGAAAGGAATACAGACAAACATACCTGTTTTGTCAGGTCTTGATGATAATCTGTCTGTGCCTTAACGGCTTCGCCCTTTGTTTTGCGTTTGATCTGCCCCTCATTCATCAGTCCAATGGTGGGAGCTCCGAGCGGATGAAGACCATTTTTTGACAGCTCTTCCAGTCTCCGCTTATCCTCCATCTATCCCAAAAAAACAGAGGGGAAAAAAAAAAAAAAAAAAAAATGATTTAAAAATCATTATCATCACAGCATGGCATGTCCAGCCGGATTAACTGTCCATACTATCCGACCGTCCATACTATCCGACCGGAATATCAGGGGCAAAAAGAATTAACCGGATTTTCGGGCTGAATTCCGGATGATGAAAAAATAAAATATATGTTTTTTTAACTTTTTTATCTCCAGATCTGCTGGGAATTTTGAAATGACCTCCACCCAAAAGTTGTTGGTATTGTGTGACCATCTCGTACGGTTCGGAGAGCACTTGTATAATCTACAACATACTTTTTTTTTCAGATTTTTTCGGAGAAGGTTTTTTTTTTTTTTTTTTTGGAAAGTTTTAAAGTACCCTATTTTGACCTCCCGGAGATACTTTATCTGGCTTCATCAGGGTAGTGTTATCCTCCAGTCTGCAAATCCGGATAGATCATAAAATCAATATTATAAATTATGAAACCAAATAAGTTTTATTTAAATAATAAAAATAAATAACTAATTCAAAATAAATAAATAAAGAAAGAAAGAAATTAACGGCCGGCAGAAAGTCGAGACACAAAAAGACTCAGACTCAAAAAGCACCAACCCGTCCGTCAGTCGACAAACAGAGCGCAGCCTTCGATCCTCAATCTCAGGGCTGGACTTCGTTTGCTCATCCAGGCTACAAAATGAGTACAAAATTACAAATACAGGCCTGCTGTTACTCAATACCTTTTTTTAAGTTTTTTTTTGTTTTTTTTTGTTTTTTAATACCTTCTTTTTTCCCAATCTGGTAGACTGTTACACAATACTAATAGTTGTACTGAAATAAATAAATAAATTAAATAAATTAATCGAATTAAAAAAAAAAAATCGTAACCACCACCTGCCCCATGTGGCTGAATGGTAAATAGGAAATACATGTAAATGTTGGTCAAATACAGGTCACAGGTTCAAACTGTGACGAATCGGATGAGCCCACGAATGATGGGGGCTACCCCCTTCTGAAAAACGAATCAGAAGACTGCTCGGGGGGGGCAGAGGTTCGAATTTGTATATTATTCATTACTTATCAATTTTATTATTGATAAATAAAAGAATAGAAGCCACAGGGGAGACAGAAAAGGAGCAAGACTACCAGCTGCCGCATCATATGTTTAATTTCAACATTTTTCTTTTTAGAAGCATAATAACAATCCATGAAAGAAGAGAACTATGGACCCCCCCCCCCCCCCCCCCCCCCACAAAAAAAAAAAAAAAAAAAAAAAAAAAAAAAAAAAACACAATAATATGTTAGGAGACAGCATCCACGTGTGCTCACTCACAGTTGCAAATTCAAGACGGCAAGTCAAATGCAATTTCACACTCGATCTCGAATGAAACTACCATGAAACTTCAGAAATCCACAGAGCCGATCGGAGTTCAATGCACGTGTCTCCACGCGATATTGACTCTGCTCATCTCTCTCTCTCTCTCTCTCTCTCTCTCTCTCTCTCTCTCTCTCTCTCTCTCTCTCTCTCTCTCTCTCTCTCTCTCTCTCTCTCCAGCAGAGCACACATACATGCACACAACGGTATGCACGCACACACGTCACAGACACTGCTATGGCGCACACAATATTTCCTTTCACGGCCGCTATGGCTGCCTCTTCTCCGTGATTCCCTACGTCAAATAGCGCTGTCCTCCTTGCCCACGAATGCCCTCCAGCTTCAACACTGCAGAATGACGATTCAGCTTCCGCCCAAGACCTCTGTTGCTTGGCCTTGGGACCTCTTGGGCCCTTGGGTACTGGTACCGCTCTGGCAAACTGCTTGGCCTGGGTTCTGCCGCACGACCTGCTGGGCACCCTACCTCTATCGACAGCCTACGAATGGTAATGGTACTAAAAAGGGCTTCGCTATGTGTTTGTGCAGGTGCAAGTCATGGGATCAAACGGCTCAACAACCACAACCACAACCACAACCACAAAATGTCTAATCTCTTATACAAAATGCACCTGTCCCAGGTAAGCTTCCAGGTTCACATCTCGGCACTCAGCATGTTCAGTCAAGGGGAAACACAGGCACGTGAGGGTCTGGGACGAAATACCAGCAGGCAAATGAACGTGAATCATTTCAAAATTCAAAGAATTAAATTCGAAGAGTTAAATTCAAATTTCAAACAATTAAATAATTTAAATTTCAAAGAATAATGCTTGTGTGCATTCAACCCCTCCAAGCTCTAGCTAGGCACGCGAGCCTGCTGCTGCTACCTTCTTCCCCCAAATACAACGTACGGTCATTATAGCTGTATCTAGACTGAAAGATGCCTCAAATACAGCTATAATGACCGTACGTTGTTTTCGGGGGAAGAAGGTAGTGACTGTGGGGGATCCATCACATATTCTTAAAACTGGGATAATACACTGGAGATTAGCATCGCCCCTGGGATGACCCCTCCAAGGATGACACACAAATTGAGAGATGGACCGAACAAAAATCAGAGGGAAAGGCGGGGGGGGGGGGGGGGGGAAGGCACTAAAGTTTTAGTATGTTCGGTATTCGACCGTAAAACCACTGAAATTAATAATAAAATTCTAGGCTGTTTTTCCGGGCGCCTCCGGTTGGGCCTCCCAACTGTCTGCGTATGAGGCTGCGATTCTTGCCCAGGGTCTGCACTTCCGGAAGGGCCAGGAAGGCCGTGGAATTTTCTTGCTGCTCAACCTGTATTTCCTTTAACCAACTGGCGCGTCGCAACTGTCTGGACCCCAAACACGATATTGACAGCCGAGGGCCTCTCGTGTTTTGTTTGGCCCGCCTTCACTTAGGGCGGGCACATATGCAACAGGGGCCCTTCAGGCCTGCCGAGGACCCAGATCCTCGCATTTTTTTCTTTTTTTCTTTTTTATAACACTACACTACATTCTTCTCTCAAATTCTTGTTGCCTTTTACTACCTACCTACCACTACGCCTAAGGCTATATAGAGGGGACCCCTGCAAGCATAGCTACCTCACAATGAAGGGATTGCATGTTGCCCTCCCCCGACCCCAACAGCGGTAGTCAGAAATGGGGTGGGGCCGCTGGTGGGGGTCCGGCTAACGCAAAGACCGAGCATTTTGCCGGTAGCTGCGCCTCCCTTTCTCATCGTCTCCCACCCCCAACCAAATAGCAGCAGTGGGTTGTGTCTGGTGTGTGGGAGAGTGTTGGCCTTTTTTTTTTTTTCATATTTTTGTTGGGTTTTTTTTTTTTTTTTTT